CCCCAAAACCCCAAAACCCCAAAACCCCAAAACCCCTCTTTACTCTTCGAGCATTGAAATTATCTTTTAGAACTCCATAAACTAACCCTTAGACCAAGTATGTCTTGGATTAGCACAGTATTCTCTTGTCAGAAGGGGTTAAATCTCCTCAAAGATACTCAGAAATGGTAAAAGGTAAGTCAGTGTGTATTCCAGCATTCTCAGAAAGATTCTATCATATTGGAATATATTTTACCTTTGAATTTTTACCTAGGTATGATATATAGCATTCTCAATATAGACATTATTTTTGAGATCATCGATGTCTTTAGCTGCTCAGTGATTCTTTCATTCATGAAGTTGTACTCAGGAGTACTAGCTCGAACGGTCGTCTTTGGAGGTATCTTTTTACATCCATCTATTGCATCCCTATATAGTCCATATCTGGAAGAAGAAAAATTCAGAAATTGATGATAAGAAGTATGTATTTGGGGACCCTGAAAGAGCTGCTCATTGGAGGATTCTGATTTGTACTCGGATTTTAGTTATTGGCATTGTCTTCAGACTATATTATTCCACTTGACCCTAGTGCTCCAGCTGGAGATCCTTCTGCTTTATCATTTCCTTATGATTGATATCCCACCCTAGGTGTTATTCTCAGATAGCATACAGCAAGGGTTCTTTGGCTAGGCTCAGCCAAAGTTCCTGCTGCTCTCCATCCTGGTGGTCGCACTCATCTATGGGGATCCGCACAGGATTTAATGTGCAGATGCTGGATTATTTCCCTCCCAGTATTACAGCGAGGGGTCTATGTGATAGAGTTCTTTATTTGCCGAGCTAAAGGGGTCCTACTTTGACTGAATAGACCTCCTTCTTTTATACCCTATATTGGGCTGAAGAGCTGGGAAGTTTTCGGAGGATTATTTGGGAGGTCTAGGGAGGATATTGTAGCAATTGTAGTAACTATAGAACTAGAGCTGAGTATTAAAGGCAATCATTTAGGAAATCCTGCTTCTAAGTCTCAAATTTGTGTTTTAAAGAGGAAAAGCTAGTAGAACTTTCTGGAGAATGTATTTATAATGATTCAAATTTGAAACAATAAAGTGATATTTCAATCTTGAATCAATCTTCAGGGGTTTTGGGGTTTTGGGGTTTTGGGG